AAAAACAAAAAAAAAGCCGCCAAGCGGGGGGGGGGGGGGGGGGGGAGGGGGAGACAATTAAAGCAACATACTTTCATGTTGCCTCAGTGGGTTTGAATGAAGATTGGACACTGATGAAGTGTTAGATTTTTGCCTCATATCTACCTGTTCAGTCATGAAATTCTGTGTAATTTTAAAATCTATTGTTGATGTTAACATTTCCTGCCTGGTAATCCAGCAAATAACATTGCAACAGTGCTTCTCTAACCATGCAGAAGTTTCATAAACTGCTTGAATGCAAACAAAGTATGCAACTTAATTAATTTAACTGTAGGCAACTAGATAAATCATACGGATTTCATCAAAAACTCATGCTTAATTGTTCAAAGGAACAATTGTGTTCTTGGGGGGGAAGCTACTGCCTGTTTTCAGTACACTGATCAGATTAATGTCAGGGGTGCAGGTTTAAAGTTTTAAATGTGAATCTCAACATTTAAATAGAAAGCCTTGTTGTTGTGGGGCGAGCTTTTTTTGTTTGGTTTGTTTTGTGTTTTTTTTTTTTAAACTAGATGCCTAATATGGATCCATAAAATAAATTCTAAGGTGCTTCTACTTTTCCAAGGTCTTTCACTTGTTATATGGGGCAAACTGATTGACACTTTGCTATCCAAACTGTAATAACTATTTTCACATAAAATCCAAAAAGCCACACTTCTCAAGAACAGTTTCAGGGGAGGAATGTCTGGAAATAATTCCTTTTAAAATATGTAAACTTGACGTAGTAAAGCTATACAAAGAAAAAGAAGCATCAGAAGAAACATTCTAGGGCACTTCACTAATGAAACAAATCCTGACTTTATTACTTCCTGATCTTCTGATTGGGTGTCTGGTTTGTAACAAACTTCAAAATTAATTTGTTGCTTTGAACACTATTTAAAAAAAAAAAAGAGAGGAATGTGGCTACTTTTAACCATCAATAGTTAGCTTTTCTTAGTATCAATCACACTAGCCAATCTATTACTAAATTTTGATCTGCTCTGCTACTAGGTCAGGTATATTTCCAAAGATTTACTCTCTTGCAAATCTTTGAGCCACAGCTAGTAGTTTTTTCCTACTTCATCTGCCTTGGAGATAATTTTGCATCGAATTACTTCGAATGCATTCACAAGACCTCTGCTGGATTCAGATTTTATTAGATAGTTGATGTCAGAGTTAAAAAATGTTCTCGGGAGACAGTAAGATTTTTGGAATGTCCCGGTATCCTTGACTTTTCTCAAGCTGTCTGCTAGCATTACCTCATCAATTTCTTTTAGAGTGGAGTATAAAACATGTTGAACAATAGCTTGTATTAAATCCCTTATTATTAAATTAAAATATAGTTCTATTTAATGGTCAGTAACTTGATTTTAATCAAATTCTATCTGACACATGGCTTAAGACTTTTTTTTTGTCTGGGATATTGCTCTTACACAATAGGAAATGTCTAAGCACAATACTTTAAAACATTGAACATATTAATATACAGGATAACTAAAATCTAGACGGAAGATTAAGTTAGGAGAAAAAGTCTGAGAGTATTTGATTTTATAAGCCAGAGAGAATTTCTTGATAACTACATGAGTCTTAGTCAAAAAGCAAAAATTATTCACCTGCAGACCTTGCCCATAGCTCAATAGTTGTTTACTTCTGTTACTGGATGCTGCTGGCATTGCACACTAAGCCTGCCATAACCAGGCTTTTTTAATATAATTTAGGGTAATTTGATTTTACAGTTTTGTCTAGGTCTCCTTTATAAAAGGATCATAAAATACTCCTCAGATTGATTAAATAAGGAAAGAAAAGGAAAAGAAAACGTGGAAGGAAATTAAGAAGCTGTTTACAAAAAATTTTTGAAAACATTGGTGGTAGCTAGTGTACAAAAACCAAGGTAAGAAGGACGGGTGGTGGCAGCAGCAAGGCAAATGGCAGCCGCGCTGCAGCAAGCCTTGTTAGAAGGGACGAGAAGACGTGGATGGATTTAAGAAACTGAAGTTAGCTTGAGTCTTGAAATCAAAGCTGAAGAGGATTACAAAGATACTGGTAGCTTATATGGGGCTGGTAATTATCGACCTGTTCTACCAGTTAACAGTTTAAAGTTGTATTGTTGCTGTCTAAACTGCTAGAAGAGGATAATTTTTTCTCTCAGGTTGTATTACATTCATAAGCTTTTGTGAGGAAAGGTGGTGTGTAAGAGTTTTGCCTTGTATTCTGTCACTTAAAGAAGAGTTTAACTTACTGATCATCCATGTAAATACTTTGATGCTGGTTTTAGGCCAAACCTAGCCCACTTAAAATGTTTAATTATCATGTGTGTTGTGGGTTTTCTTTTGGCTCTTAAATCTTTCTGTTTAATTTTTTTTACCTACAGCTGCAGGATTGTTTATGAAGTCACACTAAGCATATTGCTTTTAAGCACGATCATATTTTCTTTGAAGTGGCAGTTTCAAATGTGGATTAAGAATTCCCAGAAAACTACTAAAAGAAGTAGTTCTCAAAGCACACACAATCCACAAACTGTCTGCCATCAGTTCTGGGTAAATGTTCAGAAAGAAACAAATCTAATTTTATATTTTTTTTAATTCGGCATGCTCTGTTCATATTTTGTGAAAATGAGCTAATAACTTTAGAACTTCAATAGACATCTAAGAAAATCAGAAACATGTTTTATATAGTGTTAGACAGCTCCTGGCCTTCACCTCAGAATCACCTGAACTTTAGTGGCAAGTGGTACGGCTGCATCCCTTTTGGACAAATCCCACCCTTCGTCGGGCAGAGAGATTCCCTCTGACTATGGTTAAGTTAATGATAAACTTGCATAGGCTGCAGAATGTCTTAATTACAGAGGCTGTGATAGTTACTCAGAGGGGAGGCATGACCACTGAGAAGTGCTCATGTGATACACCAGGTATGCTGTCGTCTCAGCTAAAGGAGTGAACTACTGCCTGTAGCAAATCATGCCTTGCTGATTTTAAGAGAAGTAGAGACTAATCTATTCAATTAATGAACTGAGTCAATAAGCTAATCTGAAGTTTAAGTAGAAGCCAGTGAAATGCATGAAAAAAAAAAAAATTGCATACTTCCACAGATTTTAGAAGTTAATTTGTTAGTGCCATGTTCTGTGGGTGGAATGTGTTAACAGTGTGAAGTGTAACTCAGCAAACTCAGACTTGAAAATCTACCCCAAAATATCAGTGCTTCTGAAGGGTTTCTTAACCTGGTAGTTTCTGTGGAACAAATTTTCATGCTTACCAGCCATGCAGGCCAGTTTGAATAATTGAACGTCTTAAAGGAAAAACAGTTTTTGGTAACAGGTACTTGAACCATTGCCTTGACAAACCAGTTTGCTGCTATTTATTGTGCCATAATTCTTTGCTTCACAACTTAATCTCAGTTGACTCTTGTAAGGAGCGTGATGTTCCTTTCACGAAAAAAGTACAAATGAATTCATGGTGACTGATGTAACTGGAAACTTTGTTTAAAGATTGTATAATTTTTTTCAAAAATAATTTACCATACAGGTTTAGGTTACTTCTTTAGAATATAGTGATACAGGGATAGAAGGGGCTGTACCAGAAATCAGTTATCCTGGGGTGGGAAGAGCTCTTTTTTCTTTTTTTTTTTTTTTTTTTTTTTTTATTCGCCTTTCGCGCAGCGCTTTCGCCGGGTTTTGGGGGCCTTCAGCAGGGTATGGTGGCACAGCGTGGCCTCTGCCAGCTCATCTCCACTGCTTCCTATCGCTCTGCTCTGGGCAGAGCAGCATCAAAGGAGCAAGCCTCAATCTGCCAACCACACCTTCTCACTTGGTGGACCTTTGTATGCCAGAAAGTCCATATCTTGTTGAACTGGCATCCTCATTAAAGGATATTTTGAAAAACAGACTCCAATCAATATTTAAATTGAAACCTGTGTAATAGAATTCAACTGAAAATAACCCGAAGTGGCTGAGAACATGGATAACTGGGCAGTGACTTCAAAATCTCCTGAGAGAAATGCTTCTGGAAGGTTATACCAATACACCTGACATTTCTTGGTACAATAAATCAATGGCTCTCCTCCCACAAGTGTATCAGAAACCTGTGGGACTGTGCCCTCATAAGACACCCTGTACACAATAGATCAGCTCTGCACAAAACAGGCTTTAGTGTCTTGAAAGGGACACAGATGTGGATGAAATTTGAGTACCTTTGGTGTTGAAAACCTTCCAGTGGATCACAACAGAATTATAAAAGTTTATTTGGAAAAGGCTTGTGGGATTTAACTCCGAACAGGCAAGCTTTTTTTTTTCTAGATTGTGTACAAAAATATATCTTTAAAATACAAATAGAAGTTTCCTTGCAAAGGGCAATGTTGAGCAGAGTTAAGACCCAGCAGTTCAGAGATGTTGCAATTCCTATTTC